AACAGAAGAGCTGCCTGTGTCACTGTCCGGGGAGCACAACCCCATGGCAATATCCATGTGCCTACACCTGCCCTTGTTGCATGGCTAATCCCGTGTGCTCTGGCCTGTGAAAGGCCTGCCGGGGCTGGGCGGATGGGGGGAGTGGGAGAAAATCAATACCAATTACTGGTGCACGAAGGCTGCCCAGAACTGGAATTGCAGCATATGTTTACGCTAAATCAGGCAATCTATCTTCATCTCAGCCCAGTAATGAAGCACGCCAATCTGGGGCTTGGGGGTTGGAGGGGAAGGAGAGAGAGTGTGCCTACTGGATGACAGGCAGGTTTGGGGCAAAGGGGGGGAATGGACCCCCGGTTCACTCTGCTTGATGATATGGAGATGTATGAGTAGGGGAGAAATATCGGCTCCAAAGAGAAGTGTGTGTGTGTGGGGGGGTATTCTTGACATTATGAGTATTATCTCCTAGAAAGCAAGCCATATGAGGACAGATGGGAGGGAGAAGAGTATGCGCTGCCAGTTCTGCCGCTGCGGACTCATGAAAAATTAAGAAGAGCGAACGCAAAGAGAGGCTTTGCCCAGCCATGAGGCAAGCTGGTGCATACATGGATTTCTCAGTTTCATTGGGGCCACAGAGGGCTGTTTTGTGAATGCAGCACCATTCTCCACAAGTAGAGCCAATGCCTCGTGAACTGGTCTGTTGCGGATATCGATATCTGTACATTTGCAAGCCTCTAGAATTCAGAAACATCGCTGTGTTAGTCCGGAATGTCAGTTAGCAAAGGGATCTTGTAGCACCTGTGAGACTATACTGAGCGAAAGAGGTTGTAGCATAAGCTTTCATAGATTTGGTCTACTTTCTCAGATGCATGGAGCACCTGTATTTCTTTTTATTTGTTGTTGTTCTTGTGTATCTTCAAGTTGTTTCTGACTTAACAGCCATCCTAAAGCAAGTCTATCATGGGGTTTTCTTGGCAAAAGTTGTTCAGAGGAGGTTTGTCATTGCCTTCCCCTGAGGCTGAGAGCATGTGACTTGACCAAGGTCAGCCAGTGGTTTTGATGGCCGAGCTGGGAATCGAACCCTGGTCCCAAGAGTCATAGTCCAACACTCAACCACTACACCACACTGGCTCTCACATACCTACCTTTCCCTCTCTAGATATAGATATAGATATAGATATAGATATAGATATAGATATCTGCCATGCTCCCATCTTGCAAATTCAGGTCAGCTGTGACGTTGTTCACTGCATTAATTAAAATTAATTAATTTCAAAATGAGAAGTGGACTACTAGTTTCTGTAACTCCCTGTTTTTGGAGGTCTGTAGTATCCCCAGAGGGCCCTGGAATAGAGGCTGCATCTACACTGCAAAAATAATGCAGTTTGACACTACTTTAACTGCCATGGCCCAATGCTGTGAAATCCTGGGATTTGTAGTTTGTTGTAGCACCAGAGCTCTCTGACAGGGAAAGCTAAATATCTCACACAACAATAAAACCCAGGATTCCATAGCATTGAGTTGTAGCAGTTGTAGTGGCGTCAAACTGAATTATTTCTGCTGTGCAGATGCAGACAAAGAATTGACCCCAGAACCCAACCCTTATGTCCACCCTTGGATTTGATGGGAGGGGGTGCATCAAGTATTTTATTTTATTTTATTCAGTTTCTATAACTGCCTATCTTCTCCTCTACCCCCAGGAGTCACTATAAAAAATCCTTAGACCTACTCTCTGAGAAACAAAACTTGGAAAAGTTACTTTTTTGTAAGTCTTAATAGCTAGAGGACACACACACCAATTGTCATGCTGGCTTACAGACTGTGGAGGTTGTTAATTCAAAACTTTTCTGAAGATTGTTGGTATGAGCAAGACTGTGCTTATAACTATATGAGTCTGGAAGGATGGAAGCGGTAAAATCGCTATCAGATTCTCCTCTTATATGAAGCCTGTGCAGAGAGAAGCTCGGTTATCCTGGCTTTGCCTGGGTAGATGCATGAGACCTCAGGATACAATAAGAAAAAATATGCGGAGTTATAGCAGAAGCCACAAAAATTCAACCCCTTGATGCTATTGGTTCTCATTATGATCACAAGCCATTGAATCTTGAATCTCAAGCTACTGAATTCTAATAGCTCATTCTCTCTGCCCACAGCCCTGAATGAGCCAACCATTGACTACGGGTTTCAGCGCTTGCAAAAAGTGATTCCACGGCATCCTGGTGACCCTGAGCGTTTACCCAAGGTAGGAGTTTGAGAAACTTTGCCTTGCATTTGATGTGCTTCCTTCCTCACAGCAATTGAAACAGACAAGATGAGCTTTGCAAGAGACCCGCTGCAAAGCCATTCCAGTTAGAATGTTTAAATGGAAGATAACAAAGTGCTGCTTAAGCTTGCTACATAGTAGAAATAAGTCTTTTA